TTGACGCAATAGCTTTAAGATTAAGTTAATAATATGCACAGAGATCCTCAACCAATTGTGTTGCCTTGTGCTATGTACATATTTTAGATTTTTGAAAAACCCGGATCATGGTCAGCAAAAAGTGTTGAGAATAGGTAGATTCGCTGCTCATTCTTACATTTCAGGTTTGTTTATATAGTATTAAAAGCTGCCCACAGTTTCTAGAATCGTAGAATAATAGAGCTGGAAGAGACCATGGGCTATGTAATCTGGTGTTTCTCAAACTCTGCTCCTCCGGTTGTTTTGGACTTCAGCTCCCAGAAATCCCAGCCAATTTATCAGATGTCAGGAATAGTGGGAGCTGAAGTCCAAAACACCAGGAGGCGCAGAGTTTGAGAAACACTCATCTAGTCCATCCCTTGCCATGCAGGAAAAAGCACAATCAAAGCAGCCCCAACAGATGACAAAGAAAACACATTCTACAGTAAAGATAATAACCTCAATCAAATTAGAATCAGAACTAGAATCCAAGCAAACCCTGCCACTTTCAGCTTCAGACAATTGGGCTGTGTTTTTCCTGGTGTATTATATTTGCTGGGCCCTCGGTGGCACAATGGGTTAAACCTTTGTGCCAGCAGGACTGCTCACAGACAGGTCGGAGGTTCAAATCTGGGGAGAGTGGGTTGGGCTCCCTCTGTCAGATCCAGCTCCCCATGTGGGGACATGAGAGAAGTCTCCCACAAGTATGGTAAAACTTCAAACATCCAGGTGTTCCCTGAGCAACATCCTTGCAGATGCTCAATTCTCTCATACCAGAAGCGACACTGCAAGTTGCTCCTGACATGAAAAAAAAAATTACTGAGAGAGTGAGCCATCATGATGTAGTGGTTTGAGTGCTGACTGAGACTCAAGAGACCAAAGTCTAAATTCCTACCCAGCCATGAAACCTGACTGGGTGACCTCAGACATATCTCACTCTCTCAGCCTCAGAGGAAGGCAAAAACACCCCCCCCCCCTTGAACAAATCTTGGCAAGAAAACTCCATTACAGGCTCACTTTAGGGATGTCATAATCAAACCAAACTTGAAGGCTCAGAAGGATTATGTTTTTGAGTGTCAGCATGGTACATTGGCCTGAGTGTCGGACTAGGACTCTGGCAAACCAGGATTCAAATTCTTGCTTTGCCATGGAAACTTTCTGGGTGACCCTGGGGAAGTCACACTCCCTTGACCATAAAGGAAGGCAACGACAAACGTCCTGTGAATAAATCTTGCCAAGATAACCCTATGATAGGATTCTCATAGGGAATTGACTTAAAAACATAAAATAACACATCATTATATTAAAAACGGTTACATTTTTTCTGCCAAAAACAACAGGCTTCATGGTGAAGAAAGTAGCAACAGAAACAGATGCATAAGAAAAACAGCAGCATTTTCTTTGCAAGTTAAAGAATCCCTTGTTTCCTTGGAAGGATCTGTGGAGTGACTCAGCACTTAACACCAATATATCACTAGAGGAGTGATGTGCACAGAGAAAACCAAGTGCTTTCAACAACTGGGCAGGTATCAAAGACAGACATTGCCAGACCCTTGGCACTCCCACCTCCCGAACTGAGGTTTAAAAGACTTCAAGACTGTGTTTGCTTATTTCAAGTAGCTCAGATGACTCAAACATGGTAACACTTCTTTAGACTAGGTAAATATCATTTCTCCAAACACAAGATAAAATCCTGGAAGCTTTAGAGTTGGGACTTGAAAATAAGCCCTTGGAGAGTTTAGGGTTTCATCCCACAAGGGGTGTGGAATCGTCTTCTTTGTATGGCATTTCATGGGGTTCCTGTCTTTAAAGAAGTTGGAAAATTTACTCACCCTATCACACAGGATCACCTCCTCCCCTTTCTAGCTCAACCATTTCAAAGATACCAGCACATTTTTAAAAACAGGCATCCTTTTTGAGACAACAGTTTTTATGGGATCGTTCCCCTTAAGCCCCTACACTAAAGGAGACAGATATCCTTTTCTTGATGAAATGCCACTTTTCAAGGAACCATTCCCCTTAAGCCCCTTAGACTAAAGAAGACAAGTGTCCTTTCCTTGTTGAGACATCACTTTCCATGGGATTGTTCCTCTTAAATAGATACATTAAAGGAGACAGGCACACTTTTCAAAACACTTCTTTCAATGGGACCCACAGCATCTTTAAACCACTAATGGAAAAAGAAGGTGCATTAGCAGACTGCACACATGAATGCAGTCATTGAAACATCACGAAGTAATCAGACAAATCCACCGCTTCCTATTCCAAGTTCTTAAATGTTTTTATGTGCAGGGAGAGGAGTGGTGTTGCTTTCTGCTCGTCTTTGAAATCCACCCATTTCTACATGCTGCAGAGATGGAGTCCCATGAGCAACCAGTGGAAGCAGTCCTGCGTTGTTTGATAAGCTCTGTGGAAGTCTTCAAAGTGTGTACAAATGGGTAGAAACGGAAGGAAACTTCCATATGATGAGGTCAAATGCAGGTTTTAATATGTGCACGACATCAAATTGCTGCCTTTCAGTGAAGCCACTCTGAGCCCACCTGTCTGGGGTGAGAAGGACGGGATATAAATGTAATAAATAAATAAATAAATAAATAAATAAATAAATAAATACAAAATATGCTTGAGACCTGAACATTAGCTGTTCTGGATACCTCATGCATAAAGTACCAGGAAAATTAAACAAAAATCACTCTTGCTTAGCCAGCCAAAGGCAGGCCTGAGTTCATAAGGCAAATGATTCAGCTAAAGGCCTCATTGTGATGTACCTGACATTACATCCTGAAAGCCATTATGATCTCATATCACCCATAAAGTAGTATTCTTTACACTCTTTAGTATATTCTGAGCGGAATCCCATTGTTTGGTTGGAATGTAACTTGGAGGTCCAAAGACATATGAAGGGTCTCTCCCCCCCCCCCCCCCATTTTTGCTACTGATATCCACCTGTCTGCTACCTCTGGCAGTTACTTCATTCTGATTTGGGAAAAGTAGTTACATCCAAAAATCGATGAAATTATGTTTGTGAAGTACCTTGAATGGTTCAAATGTGATAAACTATCACCTGCTTGAAAAATTGGTTATCTTTGCTTTTAGCTTAAAAATAATCTGAGAAACTGTTAAAGCTCTCTTTTACCCTGCACATACCTCTTTACCTGCTATGGCTGCATTCAACAGAATCCTGGGATTTGTAGTTTTAGAAGGACTTTAGAATTCTCTCTTACAGAATGTTACGTGACACCAAACTCTATAGACCAATGGTTCTCAACCTGTGGATCCCCAGGTGTTTTGGCCTACAACTCCCAGGAATCCCAGCCAGTTTACCAGCTGTTAGGATTTCTGGGCGTTGAAGGTCAAAACATCTGGGAACCCACAGGTTGAGAACCACTGGTATAGATTATAGGATTCCATAGGAAGAATTAATAATGCTGTAATACGTATTAAAGTGTAGTATAAAAGAGGCTTTCGGCTATTGAAGATATTTTAGCTAAAGGTCCAAAGACCTTCAAAGTTTATATGATACTTCTAATTGGGAACTGGAAACCTTCATAGATGCCATTGTTATAAGATTATTGTAATGTTACCTGATTTCATCTCTCCTAAATTGTGGAATTTGGAAGCCTGGAGTGCTAATGAGTTTGAAGGCAATGCAGAGTTCTTTATTCTCAGTGGCCAAACAGGATATCAGTAAAGCTAGTGCTCAAAGTATTGACATAAAGTATTGGAAAATACAGAGCATTTTTCTTCACTTTGACAGCTATTCAGATACACAAACCAGCTTTTGATTGGCTGGAAAGCAGCACAGTTAAGATCCAGAATCTCGTTGGCTGGAGACTCCGTGGAGTGGCTTCAGTGGTTGGTTCTTAGAATGACAGGAAAAGTAATAAGTCATTTGTGAGTTTGAAGAGTCAGTCCGTTTTCTAGTCTGCCCTCCAAGAGGGGCACACAATAGGAATGTGATGTGACAACATCTAAATGAGTCCTTGATTAACTCCATGGCCCAATCCAATAAACACAATAGGAAGCATCCTATGTTTACAGTGGGTCTTTACAAATGTTTAAACAATCTAATTGGTGAAGTCTGCCTCAAACGTATGCGCTGAACCTCATAAGCACATATCTCTAGCTTTATCAATGAAAGCAGGAAATTCATGAATGAACATATGGGATTTATGAGTGAAGGCAAGGAACATCAGAAGTGGACATGAAAAGTCCATGAATGGGGTGGGGTGGGAAGTCCATAAATGGCTTACACAAAAATACAAAAAGGTTTCATCAATAGGGTGTCAGAACCTCTCTGCCATTTTCTCTTGAGCATTGGTTCCTGGAGGTCAAGGTGTGAAGAAATATTCCAATGAAATTCATGGTAGGATACTTTTTATGGAAATTATAAATGACCACATAACTAGCTATATTTTCTAATGGAGCCATGTCTTACCCTTCATATAAAGGTAAAGGCTTCCCCTGACATTAAGTCTAGTCGTACCCGACTATGGGGTGTGTGTGTGCTCATCTCCATTTCTAAGCCGAAGAGCCAGTGTTGTCCATAGACGCTGCCAAGGTCGTGTGGCCAGCAGTTTACATAATTCATATTTTGGGGAGTACGATTTCTCAAGAACAGTAAGACATCATTTGTTGGCATTTCATTCCCCGTTGAATCATAATGCAGGACCATAGGCAATTCTGAATTTGCCCAACATTAATATGAACTAGCCCATAAAAACCATGCTGTTTATTTAGAACATCTTTGAGCCACCTTCCAAACTAGGTTTTCATATAACATTCACTTAACAAATCCAAGGAGAAGCAATCTCCTTCTCAACTCCTGAACTCACTGGAATATGGTCTTAAGTAAGTGATCAATAGTTCTACTACATAATACAAAACACTTCTTCATAATGTAATGCATCTGGAGACCATAAGCTTGATGAAGGCTACCTTAAGCTAACTCTAGCTTATTTCACAACTCAAACAAGGAGGAGTCGGCTAAATGCCTTTTTTTATTTTTAAGCAACAATAGTTCCCCTATGAGCTTGATGTAGGAGAAAAGCAACTCAAGGAAGCCCCAGGTTCTAGCTGCCTTTTGTTTTCATGCTCGCTATCATGTCATGCACTTTCTTATTGAGAGCTCCTCCGTGGACTCCTTTTTTGCCCATAACGAAGATGAGAGCTTTTGGAGTCTTCCCAATACAGATGGACCTGCTGTCACCACCTTTTGTTCGAGTGTCCATCACGGCGTCTTTTTCTACCATGAGGTTGTCACGTATTACACTGCACTTCTTCCCAGCTATGGTGATTCCAGTTTGCAAGAATGCTTTTCTGTCCTGCCCAGTGATCAGTCCTACTTCCTGAGGAGAGATGGCTGCCAGCAGGCCTCCTGGCTTAGATGCCCAGACGCATTTATTGTCTGAATGTCCCACGATAGCTACATCTTCGATGTTCTTGTCTTTCAGGACTGTATTGATGTAGGCTTTCCAATCTCCCATGGTGATTTCTTCTCCACAACCTTTTAAGCCAAGTCTTCTGTTAGATTTCACCACACCAAGTGAATTCTACAAGATTTTATTCACAATTATTAATAACTTCCATCAAAACTATTTCCAAAGCAAATACTATAAAAGTATATCCATAAAGTAAAAAACAGCATTACAACATATCAAGAGTAGAAAAGCACCCAGAGATAAAGGCCTAAATTGGCTAGGTGATTTAAAAGGTTTTTGCTTGATAAGAACTGATGAAGGGAAAGCTGCCTTGGGAACGACATTTTTACTTCTCATCTGCCTGCCTTCTGATGGTGGTACACTGGCAAATGGCTTTAGGACAGAATACAGGAAGTCCTGATCCAGTTATTGGCCCACAGATGAACCAGAAGAGGCTTTTCTCTAAAACTTCACAACTACCAAATTAAAAATGTGAGTAAAGTTGATAGGAAATTCTATTATCTGATCGATGGTAACACAGGTGTCCCTATCTGTTCTATTCCCTAGCCCCAGGATTTCTCACCTCATCCCTTCATTACTTGGATTGCCAAAATGGTTTTGGAAACAATCCAGAGTGGGCAGATTGAGATATGAGTAGTTGTTCCCTCAGATACTTAAGTACCAATATGCTTTGGGAGTTTGATAGGAAGTGAATTGACCTTGGAAACAACAAGGCAAATAGTGTAGCTCTTTTAAGACTTGGAAGGTTTAATCCAAATGAATTTGTACAGAGTGATATAATGAATTAACTCAAACTTCAAAACTGTTTTCAAAGCCAACCTAATATATAACATATTTCAATAAAGTTTTGAGGACATGGGCAATCATGTTAATATGACCCCTTCTGAGAGAACTTGCAAATGCACCATCAGCCATAACTAATCAAATCATATCCCACAATTTAAATCTAAATCAAATGGTTAGTCCCAACCAAAGAATAAATTGGACAATTGTAGATTTATCAAATTCTCAGCGATTCAATGGATGTACTATAACCAGGATTAACATTTAGATAAAGGTTGCATTTATCACTTGATTCTCTTAAAATGACTCTGAAGAGACAAATGGGTTTGACTCTGAAGAGACAAATGAGAACTCTAAGCTGTGAACAGTTCTTTCAAGAGGAACATAATCCCATCCTGAACTAGCTACACATCATCTTCCCAAACCCAAGAATAATCTACCCATACCATACCTCCTCAACAAAAAAAGCTGTGGTCCTTTTTAAACGGTGCAAGATGAACTGAAATCCTGAAAGAAGCAGAGGTAAGGATTTGGAAAAAAAATCCCCCCAAGATCTTAAGACTGGGGCTCCAGCTCAGGATCCTGAACTCTCTAGGAGCTCAAGATCGGCTTGCTTCTGAATGCCTCAAGCCTTAGATGTCAAGAAGTTCAACCCGCTGCTCTTTCACTTAGCCAGCAAAAGGCAGATCTGAGCTCACAAGACTATTGTTATTGCGTTTCTGCTTCAGCTGTTGCTAAGGTACTCATTATGATGTCAGAAAAATCTATCACTGGACCCTGCAATTCATTTTAATCTCACGATCACCCATACAGCAGGAAACTACTTACTTTCTGAAGTGTGTACTGAAAGGAAGGAAATCAATGTTAACTTTCTGGCCTTTATTTTCTCAAGTAGATATTCTTCCTTAAAATTAATATTTCTGTTACATTATTATGTTTTAATATCATCTACAAAACAAGTAAGCGCTACAATAAAATTAAAAAGTAGGGAAGGAAAACATACAAAAGAAACAGATACAAACTCACAGGAAAAGATAGTGATTAAGTTATATCCCAAATCCAACCTCTCCATACACCTAAGCAAATTAAAAATTGACTTCCCAACCTGCAAACCAAAGACATCAATGTAATACTACAAAAATCAAACAAAATTCACAAGTATTATTTTTCTTTATAAAGGGAAATTGTTAAGAAATTATCCAAAGTAGATAATTTACTCGTCCCTGCCTTTTATTTATTTATTTACATTATTTCTATCCCTCCCATTTCAGCCCGAAGGCGACTCAGAGCGGTATACACAGTCGGCACAATTCGATGCCGAAACAAAATACATACATTAATAAAGCAAAAACATCAAGTGCAATTAAACATAAACAACAGTGCATAATAAACAATTTAAAAAGAAACTATGTCCTCTCGTTCAAATCTTCAAATGTCTTTTCAAATGTCTTTAAAATTAATCCTTTCTTGTTCGATCAAAACATTCGACATTTTTATTAATGACTAGCGGTCCCCTGCCACGCGTTGCTGTGGCCCAGTCTTGTGATATGGAAAATAAATTAATTACAAAGTACTGGTTTCTAATATATGTAATGTCTTTCTGCTTGTGGGTAAACAGTATTTCTTGATGTTTCTTTGACAGTGTTGACGTAGGGATTGTCTGGTTTGCCTACTCTGGAACATGCAACATATAATTGTCCATCTTTAGGAGTCCCTTTCAAATCTATAATACTTTATCTGTGTGTGTGTGAATCATATATATCTATCTATATCTATGGCTGGATGGCTCTCTGTCAGGAGGGCTTTGATTATGTTTTCTTGCCCTGGTGAAGGGAGTTGGACTGGATGGCCTTAAGTATTTTCTGTTGGTCATGGGGGTTCTGTGTGGGAAGTGTGCCCCAATTCTGTCGTCGGTGGGGTTCAGAATGCTCTTTGATTGTAGGTGAACTATAAATCCCAGTAACTACAACTCCCAAATGTCAAGGTCTATTTTCCCCAAACTCCATCTGTGTGCATATTTGGGCATATGGAATATTCGTGCCAAGTTTGGTCCAGATCCATCATTGTTTGAGTCCACAGTGCTCTCTGGATGTAGGTGAACTACAACTCCCAACCTCAAGGTCAATGCCCACCAAACGCTGCTAGTATTTTCTGTTGGTCGTGGAAGGCCTGTGTGCCAAGTTTGGCTCAATTCCATCGTTCAGAATGCTCTTTGATTGTAGGTGAACTATAAATCCCTGCAACTACAACTCCCTAATGGCAAAATCATAATTTTTTGAGTGATGGTCACTCCTTGTGTAGTGAGACATTTTGTTGCCAAATTTGGTGTGATTTCGTTCATTGGTTCTTTTGTTTTTAAGGTACTCATTATGCACAGAGCATTTATATATATATATATATATATAGACTTAGATCAGTGGTTCTCACCCTGTGTGTCCCCAGGTGTTTTGGCCTACAACTCCCAGAAATCCCAGCCATTTTACCAGCTGTTAGGATTTCTGGGAGTTGAAAGCCAAAACATTTGGGGACCCACAGGTTGAGAACCACTGGTTTAGATGAAGGGTTAGAAGGCATGGCCATCAAGTTTGAAGACAACAAATTGGGAGGGATAGTCAATACCCCAGAACAGGGGTCCTCAAACTTTTTAAACAGAGGGCCAGGTCACAGTCCCTCAAACTATTGGAGGGCCAGATTATAATTTGAAAAAACATGAATGAATTCCTATGCACACTGCACATATCTTATTTGTAGTGCAAAAAACACTTAAAAACAATACAATTATTAAAATGAAGAACAATTCTAACAAATATAAACTTATTCGTATTTCAATGGGAAGTGGGGACTTGCTTTTGGCTGATGAGATAGGATTGTTGTTGTTGTTGTGTGCTTTCAAGTCATCTCAGACTTAGTTTGACCCTGAGTGAGGGCCGGGTAAATGACTTGGAGGGCCGTATCCGGCCCCCGGGCCTTAGTTTGGGGACCCTTGCTCCAGAATGTGTCCAGAGGAGGGTGACTAAAATGATCCATTGTCTGGAGAACAAGCCCTATGAGGAGCGGCTTAAAGAGCTGGGCATGTTTAGCCTGAAGAAGAGAAGGCTGAGAGGAGACATGATAGCCATGTATAAATATGTGAAGGGAAGTCATAGGGAGAAGGGAGCAAGCTGTTAGGAATTGTGGGAGTTGAAGTCCAAAACACCTGGAGGGAGGGCCCAAGTTGGGCCATGCCTGGACTAGAGGAATTAGTCCACATACCTTTATGTGAGGGAAGAAACCTCTGAGGCCTCTTCTGTCCCAGAGTCTTGCAGCGTGGACTCCCTCCTTCCTCTTCAGAGGCCGGCCTGCTGGGTGGGCGCCGCCCCCTCCTTGCCTAATCAAACCCTCCCGCCTTCGAGGCCCGGGGCTTGTTTCCCTTCTCCCGCCATGGCCTTCTCCAGCCCTCTCCCTTTGACTGTCGTTGCCGCCGCCTTGGCCGCCTTGGGCCTGGCTTGGTGGCGCTGGAGGCGAGGCCCACCTAGCCGGCGGCCCACGCTGAGGCCCGTGGGCACCGTCTCAGGCCTCTTCGTGTACCCGATCAAGTCCTGCCGCGGGGTGGCCGTGGAGCGGGCCCAGGTGACCGAGCTGGGCCTCCGCAGCGGCGACCTGCGCGACAGGTGAGCTAACCTCCCTTCTCCTTACACCTCGGGCCTCCCTCCAGGTGTTATACATTGTACAACAGGCATGGCCTCCTTCCAAGTGTTTTGCACTTCAACTCCCATAATTCCAAACAGCTGGGTTGCTGTGAGTTTTCTGGGCTGTATGGCCATATTCCAGAAGCATTCTACACTTATTTATTTATTATTTCGTGTACTTCTACCCCGCCCTTCTCAACCCCCTCGGGGCGGCTTACAAACAGACACAATTCGATGCCTACAGAATAATACAAAAACGTATAAAAACAGCAGTTAAACAGTTACAACAATTAAAACAATCAATATATATCACAATCAATAAACCAATCTCATGCTCAGCGTTCGCCAACTCAGGGTCCATACTTCATTCCACATTGTCTATTCCTATCCGTCACCGTAGTCCTTTATCTATCTGCCAGATTGCCCAAACGCCTGGTCCCAAATCCATGTTTTTAATTTCCTTCTAAAGGAAAGGAGGGATGTCGCTGATCTAATTTCCCCGGGGAGTGAATTTCATAGGTGAGGGGCCACCACTGAGAAGGCCCTGCTCTTCGTCCCCGCCAATCTCACTTGTGATAGAGGCGGGGCCGAGAGCAGGGCCTCCCCAGAAGATCTTAAACTCCGAGGTGGGACGTAGAGGGAGATCCGTTCGGACAGATACGCTGGGCCGGAACCGTATAGGGTTTTGTAGGTCAAAACCAGCACTTTGAATTGTGCTCGGAATTGGATCGGCAGCCAGTGGAGCTGACATAACAGGGGGGTGGTATGCTCCCTGTATGATGCTCTGGTGAGTACTCTGGCTGCCTCCCGCTGGACTAATTGAAGTTTCCGAACAGTCTTCAAAGGCAAACTAAAAGACAGGAGAGTCCATCTGAACATTAGGAAGAACTTCCTGACTGTGAGAGCTGTTTAGCAGCTGCCCCGGAGTATGGTGGAGGCTCCTTCTTTGGAGGCTTTTAAACACAGGCTGGATGGCCATCTGTCAGGGGTGCTTTGAATGCAATATTCCTGCGTCTTGGCAGGGGGTTGGACTGGATGGCCCATGAGGCCTCTTTCAACTCTATGATTCTCTCCTGACATTTCGCTCCCATCTATGGTAAGCATCCTCAAAGGTTGTGAGGTCTGTTGGAAACCAGACAAGTAGGGTTTATATACCTGTGGGTGGGAGAAAGAACTCTTGTTTGTTTGAGGCAAGTGTGAATGTTGCAATTGGCCACCTTGATTAGCATTGAATAGCCTGGCAGCTTCAAAGCCTGGCTGATTCCTGACTAAGGGAATCAGCAGTGACCAGCAGTGCTGCAGAATTTGAAGAGGCACGAATGGAGGGTGAAAGAGAGAAACGTGCCAAGAGGAAGGCGTGTCAAGCCAACCCCGACCGAGACCACCTTCCACCTGGAAACCAATGCCCTCACTGCGAGAGACGATGCAGATCAAGAATAGGGCTCCACAGCCACCTACGGACCCACAAGAATACGGATCCTGGAAGACTATCCTACTTGGCCAATGAGGGATCACCTAAGTAAGTAAAGTATATACCTGTGGAATGTCTAGGGTGGGAGAAAGAACTCTTGTTTGTTTGAGGCAAGTGTGAATGTTGCAATTGGCCACCTTGATTAGCATTGAATAGCCTGGCAGCTTCAAAGCCTGGCTGATTCCTGACTAAGGGAATCAGCTGTGATCAGCAGTGCTGTAGAATTTGAAGAAGCACAAATGGAGGGCGAAAGGGAGAAACGTGCCAAGAGGAAGGCTCATCAAGCCAACCCCGAGTGGGAACGCCTTCCACCTGGAAACAGATGCCTTCACTGTGGGAGAACATGCAGGTCAAAAATAGGGTCCACAGACACCTACGTACCCACCGCCAGGACACCAGTCTTGGAGGACAATCTTATTTGGACAACAAGGGATCACCTAAGTAAGTAAGTTAAAGGGAATCCTTTGTTGGGAAGTATTAGCTGGCCCTGATTGTTTCTTGTATGGAATTCTCCTGTTTTTTGAGTGTTGCTCTTTATTTATTGACCTGATTTTACAATTTTTAATACCAGTAGCCAGATTTTTTTCATATTCATGTTTTCCTCCTTTCTGTTGAAATTGTCCACAGCTTGTGGATTTCAGTGGCCTCTCTGTATAGTCTGTCATGGTGGTTGTTAGAGTGGTCCACCATTTCTGTGTTCTCAAATAACATGCTGTGTCCATCAAGTGTTCTGCTATGACTTCTCTGGTTGAAGTAGTCTGCAATGCCTTTCATGTTCCTTGATTCGTGTTTGGGCAATGCTGCCTTTGGTGGTCCCAATGTATACTTGTCCACAGCTTCATTGGACATACTAGACTCCTGCAGAGGTGAGAGGATCCCTCTTGTACTTTGCTGAATATAGCATTTGTTGGATTTTCTTAGTGGGTCTGTGAATTAGGAATTGTGGGAGTTAAAGTCCAAAACACCTGGAGGGCGGGCCCAAGTTGGCCCATGCCAGATCACTCTACAAAGGCACAGCTACAGAGCTAGAAATGTGAGGACTGAAGGGAGTTGAATGAAAGAGAAATGAATAGAATGTGAAATCTTCAAAGAATAATAGCCAATAGAAATGTGTGATGTGCAAGGAGACCATGAGTTTGTATTGTGCAAAAGGAAAGGGTGGGTTGGCCAATTAATAGTGTGTGCTCCAATGGTTTTGGTGAGGGGTTGGAAAGATAAAAACAAAGTGGACTCTGACAAATTGGTAGAATTCTATAGGCAATATGTTCAATGAGGAAATAACAAATTGTAAACTGAATAATATAGATACAATAGGAAATGTTATAATCATTAGGGTATATGGGATTCATTTAGGAACTACTTAGAGAATGTATTAGGATGTGGTGGAAAAATTGAGATTAAGACTGATATTTGAAATATAATTTCTGTAGTTTATTGTACAAAGAGTATGCCCAAGGGGAAAAGGTGGGGATGGGGTAAAACAATGAAATAAATAAATAAATAAAGGGAGTTGTAATTTGACAAGGTCTTTAGCCTTCTCTGCCAAAGAATGCTTTTACCTCACCAGACTACAACTCCCAAAGCATTGCGCTTTGCTACTCTGCTGCTGAGTACGCAGGCCCGGTGTGGAATATAACTCACCACGTTAAAACAGTGGATGTGGCTCTTAATGAGACATGCCACATTATTACAGGATGTCTACGCCCCACACCACTGGAGAAATTATACAGTTTAGTCGGTATTGCACCACCTGACATCCTTTGGGAAGTAGCAACCAATAATGAAAGGACCAAGGTGTTGACATCTCCGGCCCATCCTCTATTAGACATATCAACCAGCATGCCAATGCCTTAAATCAAGAAACAGCTTTTAAAGATCTACAGAGGAAGGAACACCTCAGCAAGCAAGAGTCTAAAAGTGGCAGGCTAAAACCCGGAACCTCAACCCATGGCTGATACCGAATCAAAGTCTCCCCCCTGGGTACACACAAGACTGGAAGACCGAGAAGGTGCTGAACAGACTGCGCTCTGGCACCACAAGATGCGGAGCTAACCTTAAGAAAGGGGGTTACAAAGTGGAGTCAACTACATGTGAGTGTGGAGAACAGCAAACCACAGACCACTTACTACAATGCAGCCACATTCACAGTGGATGACCTTCTTACAGCGATATCAGAGGTACTCCAAGTGGCCAGCTTCTGGTTAAAGGATATTTAGTATCATGTCAAGTTTTTAACTTCGTGTTTTTAAATACATTATAATTGTTCCCTCAATTTGCTTCAGACATGATAAATAAAATAAATCACAGTTAAAATGGTATCAAACAACAGTAATTCCACAGTGTAAATGCACCCCTTGTTAACTTGGGATTTACCTCTTAGTAGACACACTTTGGTTTACTCAGAATGTCGTGAAATGGGGGATATAATGACTGTGTAAAACTGCATTAATTCTACAGCATAAATGCAGCTACTGTCCCAAGAAACTCTGCGCAGGCTTGTGGTATGTAAAATGTTTGATGCCATACTTTGTCAATGAGACGAAAGACTTTAACTTCAATCTTATGAAAGTAACTTGAAGCAAGTGTTACATCTTGGGACACATGTGGAGAGTTATAGCTGCTTTAGTAGAGACAGCGGATACTTTCAGACAAATTGCTTCCAGTGCCATTAACCAAAAGGCATTGTGCAGCTATTACATTTTTCCCTTCTTAACATTTTTGTGGAATAAATACGGATAGAAAGGTATATTTTTTGCCATTTCATGGAACTGGGAGTAACAAGGTTTTATTCACAGGTATGTGGCTATTATTATTATTATTATTATTATTATTATTATTAAACTTTATTTGTACCCCGCTAGCATCTCCCAAAGGATTCAATGTGGCTTACACAGGCCGAGGCCTCAACAACACAACATAACAGTACAATCAAGCAAATCAAACAATTAAAACAAAATAAAGCAAAGTAAACAACAGGCACAGTACATTAAAACACAATAAAACTGGGCCGGGCCAAAAGGTGGGGACAAGGATTAAAAGTGCTGATTTGACAGGAGGTGATTTGACAGAAGTCTCTTATTGTGGAGCAAATGTGTCTGCATTCCTAAATGATTTTATAATCCACTCTTTTTCTAGAAAATGGATTATGAAATTAGGTTAAAGTTCACTGAATGCTGGCCAGGCAAAAAGTTTGTGGTATTTTCCTCCCTTTTTGTGCCTATTGAATAAATAGTTTGTGGGATTGAATAGTACACTAGCTTTTCCTCCTTTTACTGCTCTTCTTTAGCCTTTTGAATATTGCTATCTCATTATCACTGAACTTTCTCCTTTCCTGTTACATATCTGTAACTTTTTACATGCAACTTTAGGGGCTGCCAAGACCTTCTTTGTTTTTCATTTTCCAGACTGTGAACTCTGTTCCAGAAAAATACTTTTCTAATTAACTTCTAGTGTTAGGGAAAGTGTGGCAAAGGTTGTTGGACTAGGTATTCATCTACACTGTAGAAAAAAATGATTTATTTCATTTTAACTGTGATGGCTAAATGCTATAGACTCATAGGAGTTGTCATTTGGTGAGGCACTGTATGTCTTTGGTAGGGAACGCTAAAGAGTTTGCAGACTTGCAGCTCCCATGATTTAACTGCCATGGCAGTTAAAGTTGTGTCAAACTGAATTAATGCTACAGTATAGGTGCACTCTATGATTTCCTCAAGCCTTAGCTATTATTTTCAACACAGAGGGATAATGGGGAAACACTGTGGGGAAAGCCACGGGTTCCCCAATCTTTCTCTAAAGTTGCTGCTATAAGCATGTTTCTCCCTCCTCTTTTTGAAAGATCTTTCATAAACTGGAGTTGGCAGATAATATCATGACAGTAAGCGTCCCAAGGTAATTGCTGCAGCAGAAATTCAAGTGCTGTTTCAGGCACCTATGAAACTGGAAAACCCTTTCCCGCCCTTGCATCTATTGTATCTGCCTATCACACTACCTATGATAGGGAGATAGACTGAAACTCAGTTGTTTATCATGAGGCAACATTTCCAGATTAGGCTTTTTACTAATAAGTTCACTGAATTTTACCATTTTGTAATCCTCTTTTTTTTTTTTTGCTGTCATCTTTATTCATTAAAAGGAAAATTCTCTGGGAAGGGAAAGATAAAATAGCTGTCCAGTGTCTGATCCATAACACTAGGTCCGCTCCACATGGAACATGTTGGAAAAGATGGTCGCAATATGAGCATTTCTTGCTGCTATTGTGTGTCTTTGAGTTATTTCCAATTTATGCTGACCCTAAGGTGATCTTATCATGGATTTTTCTTGGCCAGATTTGGGGAGAGGGTTGCATTTTCTTTCTCTGAGGCTGAGAGAGTGTGGCTTACCCAGTAGATTTCTATGGTTAAAGAGAGAATATAAATCTTTGTCTCCTAGGGTCCTAGTGCAATACTCAAAGCACTGCACTATGCTGTCTCTCACCACTATATATGTGTGTGTGTGTGGTGAGCGCCAGCGCATGCACGCGCGTACACACACACACACACACAGCCCATCCATTACTGTCCCAGGGTTCCAGGAGAACAGTATTTGAACTCCCACTTGGCCATGGAATTCCACTGGGTAAGTCACGCCCTCTCAGTAGGTGATAATGGCAAAATGCCTCTAAATCTTGCCAATAAAACCTGGTATTGGGTTTATTTCAGGGTTACAATTCTGCAGTAAGACACAATAACACCGGGATTGTGGCGCAGCTGGCTGAGTGTCAGCTGCATTAGGATCACTCTGACCAAAAGATCATGAGTTCGAAGCCAGCCCGGGTTGGAGTGGGCTTCCAACCAATTGTCGACCTTTGCAACCCGAAAGACAGTTGCATCTGTCAAGTAGGAAAATTAGGTACCATCTTGTGTGGGGAGGCTAAATTTATGAGGCCATAAAAAGACTTCAAAGCAAAGCACTCCAGCAAAAGCATGCAGGGAATGCAGAGCACTCCAGCAAAAGCATGCAGGGGATGCAGAAGTACTTCATCAGTGTTGCAGATGGACGATGAAAGTGACAGCTCCCCTGGCGGCCAGAAAAAGTTAAATAGCCTCTGTGTATGTCTGTATACATGGTATGTCAAATTGGCATTGAATGTTTGCCATATATATATAAACTGTAATCCGCCCTGAGTCCCCTGAGGGGTGAGAAGGGTGGAATATAAATACTGCAAATAAATAAATAAATAAATAAATAAATAAATAAATAAATAAATAAATAAACAAATAGCATTCTATAATTCTGGTATATCTTAGTGGATGGGGCCAGTTTAGCAATGTAAAAGAAGGAAAAGTTATCAAGATTGTTCATTTCATTCAGAATGATCTCAAGATACCTAATGTGCCTGTTAAGTCTACAGGAGCCCTCTACAGGAGTCCTCTGGTGTTTGAATGTACTAGTTACTGTTTTGTATTGTAACTTGATTGTTTAGGTCTTCTGATTTGCTGGACATTGTCTTTGTCATTGTTAAGTTCATTTCAAAAACATTCACTGACATCTGATCTTTTTTTAAAAATTCAGGTGTTGGCTTGTAATAAAGGAAGATGGTCACATGGTGACAGCTCGGCAGGAGCCTCGGCTGGTTCTGATTTCGATCACCAATGAAAATGGTTGTTTACATCTGAGTGCTCCAGAAATGGAAGATCTTCATATTCCTGCCACTCTGTCAATCAAAAACTCTGTGCATAATTGCAGGTACTGCCAGCCAGTGTTTACATTTTTCCTTCTCATATTGCAATGAAACAAGTTATATGCTGTTAGTATTAATGGAAACAATAACCATCTGTTTTAACTTCCTTGGCTGCCTTTGGCAATGCTAGCAAGAGGATTCGAGTGAAGCAAATTCATATTCAGTAACATAACCGATGAAAAGGTTGGGCTAATAATAACAACAATAATAATAACAACAACAGTAATTTTTATTTGTATCCTGCCCCATCTCCCCAAAGGGACTCAGAGCGGTTTATATCAAGAGCTAAAAAACAATACACTGTGTCACGGATAGGAAACTGCAGCTCTTGGAAGATCATCCTGTAGCCTTTTCTTCTTTACTTTTTAACTTCTGTGCCAGGTTGTATGGCAGTGCTTCTCCTTTCTGACCAATATAGAACAGCAACACATTGGAGGTTTGCTAGATACAATCAGATAACCTTGTGTTTGTATGTGTGCAGGGAGACATCAACCTTTTCCCTTCTGCTGTGGTCTTTATCCAGATTGGCTCATAACTTGGAGTATTGTTTATACAAGGGCAGGCTTTGGGGGCCAAAATCATGGAGTTTGATATGCCCTTTGGATAAATTGAGGGTCATTCTGCAGAGAGGAGAACACCAATGACACCTTGGGGTCAGCTTCCTTGCCCAGAAAGGAAGCAGGCTGTGCCTATTTTAGATTTTCCTGAGGCAAGACTAAGTTTTTGCCTTTCACCAGTTTTCTTAGAGAAGGAAATTGTGCTTTTTGTAGTAAGAGTTAAGGTACAATATGTTTTAGCCAAGGTGTTTAATTTGCTTATTTTAACTGTCTGATTTGATGTTTTATTGTGTTATTGCATATGGGATTGAATGTTTCCCATTTTTCGCCTTTGGAAGTTGTCAGGAGAAAGGGAAAATTAAAAATAAAGATGATGATGATGATGATGATGATGATCATCATTATTATTATTATTATTATTATTATTATTACAATACTTGCTTTGACCTGTGGATAAATTGGCATGCTTTTTTGGGTTTTTAAACTTATGCAAGTGCATAAGGGGTAGATTTTCAGTTTGCATGAAGAAAGACAATTTGACTCAGTGGGACGTTTGTCTAATGCAAAATACTTGCACAGGCCAGGTCCAAAGTACTGTGGGGCAAAAGGTTAAAAAGTATGTTGATATGTTTTGACTGTATTGTACGCTGCCTCACACTGTTAAGAGAGGCAGGTAACAAATGCATTATCATTTGATAATGTTAAATCATCATCAAAAGCACTTCTATTCTGCCCCCTCACCCCATCCACATAGGCAGCAGGTTCTCACTTTGGAAGAAATATAGGAGAGGTGACATGTGGCTTGGCAAGAGTCCATGTGAAAAAGATCTAGCAGTTTTAGTAGACCACAGTTTAACCTTGACTTATCAGTATGATGTAATGGTTCAAAAAAATCAATATAACTCTACATTGTGTCAACCAGGAATAAAGAACAACAAAATAGAGTTGGGCATTCACTTACAAATGTAACATCTAAAGTAGTTCTTCATCCAGTGCTACTTCAGATGAAACAAGTCTTTTAGTGTTGTGATATTTACTCAGAAGCTTATAATTCGTTCTCATAAACATAAACACAGTATGTAGAGAATTTGTGCTATAAACTCAAAATGTTTTTTTAATAAGTAATATTTTGATGTAATTTAAACTATTTTTCTCGGTCATTTTACATTATAATTTTAGGAGCTAGCAGAGATTACAATAAATGCCTCTGTCAATATTTTTTTCAGAATCTTTGGCACTGATATCCAAGGCAGAGATTGTGGTGAAGAGGCAGCTCAATGGATCAACACATTCCTGAAATCAGAATCATATCGTTTGGTCCACTTTGAACCAAATATGACTCCAAGGAAGTCAAAAGATTTAGTGGATCCTTTTCGACCAAGTGATAAGGTTAGAAAACAACTTTGTATTAATATACATCTTGTGTCACTCAAAGATTTTTGGAACAATGTTCTTTTCTTGCTGATTTGTTATGTTACCTTTGGAGTGATGTATGTAACCAATTTTATGTTTATTATCTATGTACAAAGGATTTTTAGGAGTTTGTGCTATATATGTAGGTTTACATTAAAGTGCTGTAGTACAGTTAAAATACATGAAATATGTTTAAATCTAGCTTTCAGAAATTTCTGAAAATGAATTTCTCCATGTTTGATGAACAATTGCTTTTGCTAAATTAATACTCTATTATTTTACTTGGATGAAATGCATAAATATGTGATATACTTGTAAAGGTCCCCTCAGTAATTACAATGCAGGACTATAAGTATACATATCCCTTTGTCAATACATGCCTCCTTTATTTTTCTTCCCAAAGTCATCCTTGGTGGTACTGAAGAACTCAGGCTTTCCAGCACTGGAAATGGAAAATTCTAACATTTTTGATAGCGGTCACTTTAAATGGCATGCAGCAGGCACAGTTAATTAGGTATTTTGGTCAGAAATAATATTTTCAGCCCGCGTGACTAACAGAATAGATGTAGAAGTCCACTCTTGATGAGAGAGAGATCTAAACTCACATTTCTCTTTGTGAGTCTGAAGAAAGGGGCATTGTTTATCCAGGGTTGGGATACTGAGGTTTTTAGAATACAGAAAAGAATTCAGGTGACATGCTGTGAATCTGCATTATCTAAAGCCCTACCATGTTCTTGGACATGAACTTACATCATGAATCTATACATTTTTGTATGTGTGTACGTGCTGTCAATTGTCCTGTTGAGTCATGGTGAACCTATTAATTTTGTAGGGTTTTCTTTGGCCAGGAATACTCAGAGGTGGCTTTGCCAATACTCTCCCCCACCCCCACTGAAAAATAGCCTACAGTGCCTGCTATTCATTGGTGGTCTCTAAGCAAAGCTGCTATGCTTAGCTTCCAAGATCAGATGGGATCTGGTGCCTTTAGATGATATAGGCAAATATATGACAGATGAGTTACACTAGTTGCCACAGCTGCACAGATAATTACAAAATGTTTGCAATAGCCTTGAGCCCACCTGTTTCCATCTACAAAATGAAAATGAAAGAGAAGGCTGCGTGTCTGGTCGTGAAATGACTGGCTGCACTAGGAACTTTTTTTTTTTGAAAATAGTTTTTATTAATTTATAATTTAAAAAGATGGAGCAATGCTGTTCCCACCTAGTACATACAAACATATATAATGTAACAGTGCAACGTATATAACATATAAGAGTACCCTCATGTTGTACAAACTAGGGTTTGCAGATCTCTCACTCGTGCTCCCCTCTGACACTTAGTCTGATTGTTTTCTTTCTTCTATCGTCTCGTGGTTCACCTTTTGTAGGGGGCAGCTGTTCGTTGTCCCTTCCCCCCTCCCGGTCCCTCCCCCCCCCTTACTCTATTGTATTTCATCCTTGACAAACAAACATAACGACACATAATAGACTTACAAACATGAATAACAACTATGTACATCTCTTGACTTCCAGGGTATCTAAGCGTGTCGTTCCTTGTATCTTTTGTAGTTATCTTAGGTCTATGTTGGCCGGTTACTCTTTTGTTTGGTTACTATTCTTTGGGTTTTCTCCTTCTTTCGTATTCTATTCTCGTTTCTTGTTATACTTCTTCAGAAAGGTTATGAATTTGTTCCAGTCAGTGTTTTCTCTTGTCAATTCATTTTTCCTTAATTTCTGAGTTAGTAAGTCCATGTTCATAATATCCATGGATTTGCTTATCCACTGACTAAAGTCTGCTGTTTCTTTGTTCTTCCATAAGCGGGCCACACTGATTCKCGCTGCCGTGRTGAGGTAGAACATGATTTTTTCGTCRTTYTTGTTCATGGTTGGGTCATTCAGTCCCAGCAGAAAGTGTTCCGGTTTAAAATCCAATTTGATTTGTAGTATTTCTTTTATTTTGTGGTGCACTACCTTCCAAAATTTCCTAATGATCTTACAGTCCCACCACATGTGTCGAAAGGTTCCCAATKTCTTTCGACATCGCCAACACTTTTTATCAGATCTTCCTTTACTATATTTCGCTATTTTTTCTGGTGTCTGATACCATAGATAAAACMTTTTGACCCAGTTTTCTTTTATCTCTGAAGCGTATGTGTATTTTAGTTTTTTTCTCCAGATTCCCTCCCATTCCGACATTGTTATTGTGCGTCCTATCATCCTAGCCCACTTAATCATAACCTCCTTCACTTGTCACTAGGAACTTCATTTTCACCCCACTGGGACAGAGCAGCTACTAGCGCAGCTGTATCCAAGCAGCATGGTGCCTCAATGGGATTCTAGCCATAGTTTATTTTCTTCCTTTTGGAATTAACAAGAAGGGAAACACTTAGGAAATGGAGTAAAAACTGGGTGAGAAGAGACAAGTAACTCTTTCTACTTTCAGTAAGGTAGTTGTTTCACTGTTGGATCTTCCTGTGTGCACCTACAGATTGATATTTCCTGCCCATTACCTGTTATCAAATATTTTAGTATCTCCTAATTAGAATTTGATGTGTTGGATAGCTAAAGGACATACCTGGGTATTCTGACAGCTTCAGTTCAATCTAGGCTACTGGTTTGTCATTCTTGATTTTGATGTATTTCCTTTGGATGGTTTTACAGTACTCACCCCACTGAATGTATGTTCTAGATTGCCTATCCTGACCTTGGCCCAGTTATGGTCCTCTCTGAAGCTTCTTTAGAAGACCTAAATTCCCGACTGGATAAGAAAGTTCAGATACGTAACTTCAGGCCAAATATTTTGGTCACAGGTTGTGGTCCTCATGAGGAGGTAATTTATAACATTTCAAAAAACATTAACAGTAACTGAGCTATTTCATGGGAGTGACAGGTTTATTTATTAACATTTGAACATCTCATTGTATAATTTATGTAAATGACGGAAAGAATGGTTCCTTATTTGATCGTCATTTGAGTACATAATATTACTGCTGAACCAATTTTCCTAAAATGTATCATTCAGTTTTTACAGTTTTAAAAAAAATAAATGTAAAGATGCCTCCAATGCCAGGAACTATCGACCATTCTCTCTCTTACGTCATCTATATAAAGTATGTGAGAGAATGCTTTTAAATCGATTAGGACCTGTTACTGAACTCCAGCTTATTGTACAACAAACAGGTTTCAGACCAGGAAAAAAGTGTACAACTGAAATTCTTAATCTGACTGAGTGTATTGAGGACGGCTATGTGAAAGATTGCATTACAGGAACAGTTTTTGTGGACCTTATGGCAGCCTATGACTTGCTGCAACATAGAAAAATGCTGCATAAAGTTTACCATATTATCTGGGACTATGAATTTACAAAAACTATTGGGCTGCAGCGGTTTAAACCGCTGAACTGCTGAACCAAAAGATCAGCGGTTTGAATCCAGGGAGCGCGGTGAGCTCCCACTGCTAGGTCTAACTTCTGCCAGCCTAGCAGTTCGAAAACATGCAAATGTGAGTAGATCAATAGGTACTGCTTCTGTGGGAAGGTAACGGCGATCCATGCAGTCATGCTGGCCACATGACCTTTATCTTTACTATCCAGACTCTCCTAGAAAACTGCAGCTTCTTATGTGGAGTTTCAAGGCAGGAAAAGTAGATGGAGGAGGCAAAATAATGGTTTACCTCAAGGCAGTGTTATTGTGCCTATCTTGTTTAACATCTTTACTAATGATCAGCCACAGCCACCACTCACAAAGAGCTTTATATATGCTGATGACTTTGGCCTAACACAGGGGTAGGGAACCTTTGGCCCTCCAGCTGTGGTGGACTTCAACTCCCACAATTCCTTGAGGCTCGGCATTGGGCCAAGGTAAGCCTTTGGGGCGAATGCCGAGCCTCAAGGAATTGTGGGAGTTGAAGTCCACCACAGCTGGAGGGCCAAAGGTTCCCTACCCCTGGCCTAACAACACAAGCTTTATATATGCTGATGACTTTGGCCTAACAACACAACCAACTTACTAATGCCCTTAAAGATCTCTCCAGCAGTTGCAAAGATAACCACCTGAAGCTTAACCCTGCCAGGACACAAGTGTGTGCTTTTCACATATGTAATCGTGAAGCCAACAGGAAATTGAAAGTTACCTAGGAAGGCCAAGAGCTCGAACACTGTTCCTGTCCTAAATATCTTGGTGTCACCTTAGATCGAACACTAACATTTGGGAAACACTGTATGAACACCCAAGCACATAGTAGCTGCATGCAATAACATCCTGTGGAAACTTTTGTTTCAACAGTCTTACTCTTATTTTTGTATAAGGAAGCTAGTATGAGAGTATACTAACTGAAGCCCATTTTTCCTCTTTAAATATTTTCAAACCATTTTAGATATTACAGATTAATATCTTTCTAATACAGCCATGAATTGAGCCATTCAAGTAATTGTTATTCCACCTTCTATCTATCTTGTGGTACAGTAGTCCCATTGCTGATGCAGTAAGATTCTTTGATCTTTGAATGCAAACTCGTGCAAGGTTTCTATGTTGTAGAATTGTGCAATGCCAATATGAAATAGTCTGAATACAATTTTTTCATCTATTTCTTTAGGATACTTGGGATGAGATTGTAATTGGAGATGTAGAAATGAAAGGGGCAATGGCCTGCCCCAGGTAAGCAACTTGGATTGTATTTGAAGCTATACATATTTAAAAAGTATTTGAAGTTAATATTATTTCATCCTGCATTATCTTTTTAGGTGTATTTTTACTACTATTGATCCAGATACAGGAGTTATGGACAGAAAAGAGCCTCTTGAAACCTTGAAAAGGTAACAAATATCACTGTTCTACAAATTTTCAGTTTTTCTCAGTTACGGAAACGAAATGTGTTGTTTCTTAATAAATTTAACATGCTGAATTCAAATATAATAATTAAATGTGTTAATTGGCTCTGGTTTTTATGCATCAGCTATTTCAATTTTGTCCACAATAGGTAATTCGTTAATATTATGATAATGCGCCTAACCTTACTGCATGTATATAAACCATGAATATTTACTAAATTTTAGTCAAATTATATTGTCAATAGTTTATACATGAGAAATATTTATTTAATTAGTCTATTGTTTATGTTTGTGCAGCAAGAAACTATATTAGTAGGCCTAATGCAGTTGAAAAGTCTGAAAGTTTAAATGTCGCTTTAATCGTGACTTCTATATATATAAATTTGTTAGGGGCATCCAACGAGGAAACAAAACTCAAAAAACCCCCAACGAAACTTAACCAAAATTCCCATGCCCATAACACAACCCACAAGGTACAAACATATCTACTCAAAATGAAAAACAACACAACAACACACTCACAAAACGGCAAAACAACAAAAACTCAAAAAAACCCAACGAAACTTAACCAAAATTCCCATGCCCATAACACAACCCACAAGGTACAAACATATCTACTCAAAATGAAAAACAACACAACAACACACTCACAAAACGGCAAAACAACAAAACTCAAAAAACCCCAACGAAACTTAACCAAAATTCCCATGCCCATAACACAACCCACAAGGTACAAACATATTTACTCAAAATGAAAAACAACACAACAACACACTCACAAAACGGCAAAACAACAAAACTCAAAAAAACCCCAACGAAACTTAACCAAAATTCCCATGCTCATAACACAACCCACAAGGTACAAACATATTACTCAAAATGAAAAACAACACAACAACACACTCAAAACGGCAAAAAAAACAAAACTCAAAAAAAACCCCAACGAAACTTAACCAAAATTCCCATGCCCATAACACAACCCACAAGGTACAAAAAGGGGGAAGGAATAGGTAGGTACCTCTTTTTCATAATAGTCCAGGTATCTACCTCAACTTTGATAAGTTTTACTATAGGCCACAGCAACGCGTGGCAGGGCACGGCTAGTTAGTTTATATCCTGTTTGCTTCTCTTTGACTTTTCTTTTGTATTCAAGGAAAGGATTGTCTCTTACAATGCTCCAGCAGTAGTCTGACAGCATTGACGAAGTCCATTTACCTTGATATCTTTTTTCAATAGTGCCTTATTTACACAGGTGCGAGGCATAACTACAGTAAAAAGAACAATGTAAAACGATGTTTAATGATACTGTCTCAGTCTTCAACTGACTGACCCTCACCGTTCAAAAGTCTGGCCTTATATAGGGCTTTCTGGCTTTTGCAAACGGTACCAATACTATGTCATCAAACTTTCTAGAGTATTCTAGAATCTTCCATAGTGTAAGTCGCAACATGCATTTTTTCAACCATATGTGATCACGTGATTGCTTATATCATAAAAACTAGAGCCAATATACATTTTTAAATATCATTTTCAGTACCCCAAAATCATAAAAGAACAACTATTTTCAGGCCCGAAACTTTTTCTCTGTTGAACAGTGTAAAGTTCTTGTGATGTTCTGTAGCTTTTAAAATATTTTACACATAGTCATGGCTACATATCTGTTTTTCTAGAATGAAAATCTCTGTGTATTTTATTTGTCAGGAGGTGAAGGAGAAGCACGCTTATCAGGATAAAAAGGGAATATGCTTTATTCCTGAATGATAAATTATTATTATTATTATTATTATGTTTATTTATATCCCGCTTTTTCTCTCCATACGGAGACTCAAAACTACTCACCGATTAGAAGCATTGCAATACAAGTTAAAATTCTGCATGTGCAAAAGGTTTTGGTCTCGACTTTCACAACATTGGCAAAGTATACCTGTATTTGCTGGGGTTGCTATACACAGAACAGAAAATTCTCTAACTTTCTAACTCCAGAAAACATTGAGATAGTGAGTCAGCAAATTAGCCAAGTAACCAATTTTGGTGGTAGATTGAATTTTCTCCGTTTCTCATGCAGAGCTTGGCAGTAAACCAACAACTATGTCCAAAGAATGGGAATTTAGATACAAAGTCATTTTTTATCTATATGTTCACTGAAAGGGTGTAGATTATTTGGGGAAATCCCAGGCAGAAGTCTTGGTCAGAACAAGAGACAAGATAATGGCTTTCCTTGCAGTGAGAAGGAGAGAGAACAGAAGGAGTTCAGAAGTGAATTCCTAGATTCACTCTATAAATGTGTGGAGCAAAACCCATGTAAAAAGCCATGAAAATGATCTAGGCCCCAACCTGAACAACAGTACACGGATTCTTCTAACAGATAAACTACCTTCAAATTAAGAGGAAAATAAACAACACTAATGACCACATGGTGATGGGATATCTGCAGGTGAATGTCCACAAACAGATAGAGACAAATTCCTCTAGCTTACTTACTGAGGCTCCGGTTAGCCCCATGTCACCATCTGTTGCAAACAGGTGACAGCTGATATACTATCCTGAAGTAGGGTAGGAACAAACTCTTGGTTTTTAAATGGAGAGTTGGGTGTACTCTAGACATGGGTAGAAAAGCCATCTCAAATCTTTTATAGTAGAACATCTCTAGGGATTTTTGAATTACATAAAGAATGAAGGAGGTGGACCAGGGAGAGTTCTGTCTCCATATCTGAGTGTTTCGGCAAAGAGGACTGTTTGGATATCTGATGATCCAACAAGCTATCATAAGCTAAGGGTTTCTTTACCTAATTCAGATGTAGAGAGTAGCTGAGATGGTTTTCCTATGTGCTAGACTTTTAAGAAAAGTAAAGCATTTTGGATAAGTGATTCTCAACCTCTATGAGGGGTATTCAAAAAGTTTCTGCACTTTTATGTTTTTGCTGGGAATAGTGAGAGTGAGAGAATTAGTAATTGGGTGTATCTGAGAGTGTCATGTGACTAGTCTGTCTGGCAAGCTGGCTGATCTTGCAGTTTAGAATAAGAGTTCTCATGCCGTGGTGAAGATAGCTGTGGAACTTATACATTGCAGCAAAGAGAAACAGTGTACTGTCTTACACTTTTTGTGGGCAGAAGCTGTGCCTGAAACACAAATTCATATTTGCGTGTGCACTCAGCATAAGGATAAAGTTATCTCTTGCAAAGTCATCTATAATGTCCCCTGGATTTTGAGCCATCTGATTTCTACCTTTTGAGGCCACTTAAAGAAGCTTTAAGGAGAAGAAGATTTTCATGGGATGTCAAACCCATCAGTGGCTATGGGCTCAACCAAAACCGTTGTTGATGGCATTAAAAGGTTGATACGACACTGGGAAAATACATTTTAAAGGAAGGCGACAATGTAGAAAAGTGATGTAATTTGTTTTTTAAAATTCTTAATAGAGTTTTTAAAGTGAGGAAATGTTTCAAAGAACCCTCATATATGATTACAAACACTGTATACAAGTATGATTGATGGGAACAAAAGAGAGGGCCTTTTTGGTGGTAGCCCCGCAGCTCTGGAACTGCCTTCCTAAAGAAGTCAGAATGACTCCCTCCCTGTTATTGTTCAAGAATCAAGTAAAAACTTTACTGTGGAAACAGGCCTTCCCTGAAGATGAATAATAGCACTGAAAATGCCACACTTATAGTGGGCAATGTTTGAAACGTAATGGACCTCCAGCAATGGACCTGACTACAGCCTGAATCAGTGGTTCTCAACCTGTGGGTCCCCAGAGGTTTTGGCCTTCAGCTCCTAGAAATCCTAACAGCTGGTAAACTGGCTGGGATTTCTGGGAGTTGTAGGCCAAAACACCTGGGGACCCACAGGTTGAGAACCACTGGCCATAATGAATCAATTTTAGATGGGGTTTTAATCTATTATTATTTAACTATGTTTCTGCTAGTTTTCAGTTACGTTGATGATACACCAGTTCCTTACAATAAATATACTTTCTTAAGTGGCTCTTTGAAAATAAGCATATTGGACTACTGTTTAAGTGACTTACTGCAATTTAACTTTCTCTACAGTTACCGCCTATGTGATCCTTCTGAGCAGCATATATACAAGTCACATCCTCTCTTTGGGTGGTACTTTGGAGTTGATAAAACAGGAACGATTCAAGTTGGTGACCTCGTGTACAAGATAAGCTGGTGATGGAGCTGCCTGCCAATGGAAATTGCATTTTTGTATATTCTAAATGCCTTTTTGTGGCAACTGTGTTGTCTTTCCAATGGATATTTCATACTTTGCATTCAACAGTATTGTACTGAATAATGTACAGAATGAGATGATCTTGGGGGCTTGGAGCATTGTTATTGTCACAATACGCACACTTTTTGTACATAGTAATCAGAAACTGGAACATTCCCCTTATCACAAATAATAGAAAGTTACCAGGAATAGAAAGAAATTGGGCACAGGAAATAAGCACGTCAGCGGTCTTTTTGTTATTGCTGTCTTCTGGGGAACTTTGGTTCCAGCCTTATTACTCAGGAATAAATAGCACTATGATTTGATTGCACATTATTACTTCAGGTTTTGAGAGCAATGTATATACCATATCCACACATTGATTCACTGTATTTTCTTCTGTTCTGTATATTATCATAATGAACAAGTGCACTATCACACAAAGATGTTGCTTCAAAAGATTTCTCAATTTCAAGACATAATTTGTACATCACTTTAAAAAATGTATATTTTTGCAATAAATCTGTCTGTTTATAATACCTTTATAAAGAATCAAAATCACTGATGAAATGTTTATTAATGCTCTGATTTTTTTCTATTACAAGTGTTTTCCATATAATTACTACTGGTAAACTTAGTTTACACATAACATGGATTTTTTTATACTTTATCAACTTGGTAAAAATATGGTGTTGTTTATTCTCAGTGCCATTTTTAGGAAAATGTACTATAAAAAGAGATCAAGATACAGTTGTATTACTTTCCTAACATCCCGTATGACTGAGTTCTTTGTAAACATTAGATTGCATTGTTAACTAGGATCGAATGACTTATATTGTTCTGTTTCAATATAAAAATTGCAGTTTTCTTATTTTCAGTCAATGAGGATAATGAAAAGGACTATAATTTCACAGTCATTGAGAAAATGAGTATTCTTTCAAAATTTTGCCAGAATGTAAGAGAACAAAAAAACAAAACAAAACCCAGCCATATCATTTTTATAAAATACCTTGATCTGAATACACTTTTACAGCCATCTTTATTTCCATTGATGAAAGCGAGCTTAAATAAATTCATATCTGTAACTTCTTTGAACTCTGATAGAGTTTTTCTCCTATCTTTGGTTTATACCTAGCCAGAGACTTTAATCTTAATTCCCCAAAGGCAGTCATGAACGAAAGGAATAATTGTACTGCTGAGCTTCTGAAGAGGAACTTAATATAGACTTTGGGGAAATGAGACTGAATTCAGCAGAATCAAACTGGCCCCTTCCCCAAACTGCACTGGCCAGTTAGTATTTCTGAAATATGCCATTGAGCAATGGAAAATAGTTTGTCTGCTCAGACTTGAAATACTTGTTCTAAGGCCAGTTCTGGTAAGAGTTTTCCCAGATAACAGTGCATAAGCCAACTTCTGACAAGTGCATGATATATACACAAAGCGTACACCTGCACTGTAGAATTAATGCAGTTTGATGCCACTTTAACTACCATTGCTCGATGCTATGGAATCCTGGATACTGTAGTTTGGTTTGGCAGCCACAATTTTTGGCTAAGAAGGTTAAAAATTTTGTACAACTTACAACTCTCAAGTTGTCATTGCCTTGAGCTGTGGCAGTTAAAGTGGTGACAAACTGCATTCATTCTAAAGTGCAGATGCACCACCACCCCCCCCCAAGGTGCATCTACTCTGTAGAACAGTGGTTCTCAGCCTTTTTTTTTTTTACCACTCTCCAACATTAGTACCAAAAGGGTTATGAATCAGTTTTTTGGTCAACTTCAGATTCGGTTTGGTTATCTGGGGTGCTGATCCAGAAAATTGCATCGGATAGACCACATCAGCTCTAGTTTCTGATATAGAACATATGCCATCCAGTAGTCATCTTTTCGCCCACAGAAAACCATATTTAATAAACCTCAGCACGATAAGTGGGTTTCGCAAGACTAGTCACTTTCATTGCAACAGTGTAATAATGAGGAGACCACAGACCATATTTTAGTTCTTGTAGACCACTGGTTGGGAACTATTGCAGTAGAATGAATGCAGTTTGACACCACTGTAATTGCAATGGCTCAATGCTATGGAATCCAGGAGTTGTAGTTTTACTAGCTTTCTCTGCTAAGAGTGCCACTGCCTCACCAAACCACATCTCCCATAATTCCATAAGGATTGGACCCTGGCAAAGGTGTGGAACTGCATCCATTGTGAATGGGAAAACCCAGGCCCAAGGGCCAAATGCAGCCTTTTGGACTCTTTTCTTAGGCCCTCCTCTCTTTCACCATCCTATCCTTCCTTCTCTCTTTTCTCCCTCTTTCTCCCTCCTTCCATTCCCTTCTACCATTCCTTCCATTCTTCTCTTCCTCCCTTTTTTCCCTTTTCTTTTTCCTTCCTCCTTTCCTCCTAGAGGATGTTTAGCTGGCAGAAGAGAAGGTAGAACCATAGCTCTTTGCACTTCAGTTGGCCCTCCCACCTGTAATCCTGTTACCATAAATGCCTAATGGACGTTACCCTCCCAGCTATAACCTTAATTGAATTTGAAGCAAATCTTGCTCTTTCCCTGGAGGCTTTTCAGCAGAGGCTGTCTATTGGGAGTGCTTTGATTGTGCCTTCTTGCATGGCAGATGATTGGACTAGATAGCCCTTGGGAGTGTCTTCCAGCTCTAGGATTGTATATCAGGAGTAGGCAGGGCCGTAGCTGGGGGGTGGGTGTATGGGTGGGTTAGAACCTTTGGGGGAGTTAGAACCTTTGAGGGGGGGTTAAAACTCTCTCCCCCCCTCCAGCTATGGCCCTGGGAGTAGGCAATATGGGGTCTAATGGATACATTTTTTCTGTCCTATCCACCATCTCATGCTGATCAAGACCAACCCTTTTGGGATCCAAATTTTTCCCATCTTTCCACCTCTGAAAGAGAAGAGGAAGGGGAGGAAAGGGTATAGAGGGGACTTGGGGAGAACCTCCTCTCTCCTGGCTCACCCACCCAGCTCCAGCCCGCTATGTGGCCCCCAAGTTAGAAAGTTTGCTCATGCTTGGTGTAGATGCACTTCTATATTCAATGTAACTCTTCTAGTCTTCAAAATCTATTGTTGCTTTAAACGCACGGGGGGGGGGGGGGGAGAGAAGAGAAGTGAAGAGAAGGTAAGTATATTGGACCTTCCAAATATTTCCACTTTCCAAAAAAATGAATAATGGAGCTGTGTCGGTAGTATTATGTCAGACTCACTCTATATATTATTCAAAGAGGAAAAAGAGTCTGAACCAAATCAGAGTATGTTTCAGCCTCAAGGAGAGACAGGATTGAATGGGGGCTCTGTCTGGGTATTTTGGGGGGGTTTGTGTGTGTGTGTGGGGGGGGGAGGTTGTTTTGTTTTTGGCAAAGAAAAAAAATGGAGGTTGCTGCCCGAGAGGAGCTACCTGCCTATCTTTCTAAATCCCAGCTATTTCCCAGATAGTGGTAGATTTATTTATTTTTCATATCAGAAGCAAACCAAGGGTCGGCCAGTCACTTCAAGGATACCATCCATCCATCTTGCCCTTGGTCCGCCCCTCTTCCTTTTTCCTTCCATTTTCCCCAGCATCATTGTCTTCTCTAAGCTTTCCTGTCTTCTCATGATGTGGCCAAAGTACTTCATCTTTGCCTCTAATATCCTTCCCTCCAATGAGCAGTCGGGCTTTATTTCCTGAAGTATGGACTGGTTGGATCTTCTTGCGGTCCAAGGCACTCTCAGAATTTTCCTCCAACACCACAGTTCAAAAGTATCTATCTTCCTTTGCTCAGTCTTCCAGGTTTTAGCCTGCCACTTTTGGACTCTTGCTTGCTGAGGTGTTCCTGTGAGTATCTCTGTGGTAGATAATGTAAGTGGTAGATAATGTAAGTGGTAGATAATGTCAGTGGTAGATAATGTCAGTGATAGATAGTGGTAGATTAAGCTTCACCGTAACATTTTTCCTTTGAACTAACTGATCTGCACTTCTACTTCCAATGTAACTCTAATTCATGAAGTCTATTGCTGACTTCAACTAGGTGGAGAAGAAGAGGAAAGTGGACAAGTTAGGCATATCAGACCTTCTAAATCTACCCGCTAAAAAATGAAAAGTTGAGGTGGGAGTGAGTGGGAGAGCAAGGAAATAATGGAGTTCAGTGTCCAGAGGACCTACAGTGTCTTTGTTTGATCCCAGCCTGTAAGGCGGTGGTCTTTCTCCACTGCCCTTTCTCTTCTGTCTTCCTCCTTTCTCTCTCTCTCTTTCCTTCTGTCTTCCTCCTCTCTCCCCCTCTCTTCTGCTTTTGCTCCCCTCTCAAATCGCTTTGAATTCGATTTTCCTGCTTCTTGGCAGGTGGTTAGACTGGATGGCTCAGGAGGTCTTTTCCAACTCCATTATTCCTATCTCTCTCTTTCTTCCCTCTCCCACCTCTATCTATATGGAGATGCCATCTGAGCATTAGGAAGAACTTCCTGGCTGTGAGAGTTGTTCAGCAGTGTAACTCTCTGCCCCGGAGTGTGGTGGAGGCTCCTTCTTTGGAAGCTTTTAAACATAGCCTGGATGGCCATCTGTCGGGGGTGCTTTGAATGCAATTTTCCTGCTTCTTGGCAGGGGGTTGGACTGGATGGCCCATGAGGTCTCTTCCAACCCTTGATTCTATGATTTCACAATTTGCTGGCATTGTGCATCTCCTCTCTTCTCTCCTCCTCCTTCTCCTCCTCTCTCTTTTTTTTTTCTCCCCCTCTCTGATCAGTCTCTCCCCCTTTCCTCTCCCCTCCTTCTCTGTCTCCCTTCTCTCCTCCCTTTCTCTCATTGCGCTCCATCATGGCCCATGTATGGTCCTCACCTTCCAAGATCTGCTCCGCCCTGGCTTTAGTCCTGGGGCTGGCTGCTCTTTGGCGATGGCTCCGTGCGCGTGGGAGCCCTGAGCTGCGGATGAGGCGAGTGGGGACGGTCTCGGGGCTCTTCCTCTACCCGCTCAAGTCCTGCCGTGGGCTCTCCGTGGACAGAGCGGAGGTGACCGAGCTGGGACTCCGCAGCGGAGCCCTGAGCGACAGGTGAGTCCAGAAGAGGAAGGGACAGGCAGCCCAAGAGTGCAAGAAGTGCATCCACTCTAAGACAGGCATGGGCAAACTTCGGCCCTCCAGGTGTTTTGGACTTCTACTTCCACAATTCCTAACAGCCGGAAGGCTGTTAGGAATTGTGGGAGTTGAAGTCCAAAACACCTGGAGGGCCGAAGTTTGCCCATGCCTGCTGCAAAATGAATGCAGTTTGGCACCATTCTTGAGCCAACAATGTGATGCAGCAGCAAAAAAGACAACAGGATTTTGGCCTGCGTCCACAGGAGTCTAGTGTCTAGATCCAGGAAAATCATGCTACCCCTCTATTCTGCCTTGGTTAGACGACACTTGGAATATTGTGTCCAATTCTGGGCACTGCAATTGAAGGGAGATGTTGACAAGCTGGAATGTGTACAGAGGAGTGTGACTAAAATGATCAAGGGTCTGGAGAACAAGCCCTATGAGCAGCGGCTTAAAGAGCTGGGCATGTTTAGCCTTCAGAAAAAAAAGGCTGAGAGGAGACATGATAGCCATGTATAAATATGTGGGAGGAAGTCATAGGGAGGAGGGAGCAAGCTTTTTTTTGCTGCCCTGGAGACTAGGACGTGGAACAATAGCTTCAAACTACAAGAAAGGAGATTCCATCTGAACATTAGGAAGAACTTTCTGACTGCGAGAGCTGTTCAGCAGTGGAACTCTCTGCGCCATAGTGTGGTGGAGGCTCCTTCTTTGGAGGCTTTTAAACAGAGGCTGGATGGCCATCTGTCAGGGGTGCTTAGAATGAGATTTTCCTTCTTGGCAGGGGTATGGGCTGAATGGCCCACAAGGCCTCTTCCAGCTTCTCTGATTCTTTGAAATCATGGAATAACTAGTTTTACAAGATCTTTCTCCTTCTTTGGTGACTCCATAAGCTGTCACTCCCAGGACTACCTTTTCATTGAGCCATGGTAGTTCAAGTGGTGACAAGCTGCATTCCCCAAGGTCTACCTTCCCACCCCACTCTGACATATGTACTTCATCACACTAGAGAATGAATCCACTTTAAATCTGGTTTCTGCCTCCTGCAGAATTCTGGGGTTTTGTATGAGGCTGTTAAAGGCTCCTTCCTAAGCTACAAACCCCAGAATTCTGCAGGAGGCAGAAATTGGATTTAAAGTGGATCCATTCTTTAGTGTGATGAGGTTAGAACTAACAAATGGAGAAAGAAGCCAATAGCCAGGAGGGCAGTTGCTAAATACATGTTGCAAGAGATGTGGAATTTGAACCTTAGAAAGAGAGGGATCTGGTAGATAGAGGGAAGCAACACCTTGTTGAAGGCAAGGCTGAAAGGAGAACAGTGGCCTCAGGCAGCCGGGTTCGCTTGTCATGAAAAGGGCAGCAAATTATTATTGATTTTATGGTTGTCTTCAGGAATGGGCAAGGTACATATTCATCTTAGGTGGTGTGGGTACTATTGTACACACTGAATTATGTGGAATGTATGGAGTAGAATTAACTTGAGGCAAATAGGGGGTGCATGTACACTGCAGAATTAATGCAGTTTTACACCACTTTAACTTCCTTTTGTCGGCAGGACTGCAAACCGTCAGGTCGTAAGTCCAAATCCGGGGAGACTGGCTTGACCTCCCTCTGTCAGCTCCAGCTCCCCATGCGGGGACATGAGAGAAGCCTTCCACAAGGATGGTAAAACATCAAAACATCCAGGCTTCCCCTAGACAATGCCCTGCTTTCAGTCCCATCTTCTTTGCAGGCGTGACTGGTAGGGTCGAGAGACAGGACCTTCTCAGTGGTGGCCCCTCGGCTGTGAAACTCCCTCCATAGTGACATTAGATCTTTACACACACTCACACCTTATAGTGATCCCACAGGAACTTAACCACATACCTTAATAGTAGCCTATATCAACTCTTTATTTTATATAATATTTTATTCCAAGACTGTATCCTGTTATCAGGTATATTTCAAACAGATGCACTGTTTTTAGAGGATAGATGGATGTTTAAGATTGGGTTATGTCTATACTATACACTTATTACTAGTGTTCTACAAAATATGCTTGTTTAGATGTTGGACTGTGATGAAGGAAGATGGGGAGATGTTGTCTGCTAAAGAAGAGCCTCGTTTGGTGCTAATTTCTGTGACCTGTGAAGATGGCTATATTACGCTGAATGCTCCAGAAATGAAGACTCTGAAAATCCCTCTTGAACTCCCAAGAACAAATGCAGTCAGGAATTGCAGGTATTAACAAAGACTTTCCTCTTGTTTCCTGGGAAACTAGGGGTACACCTACACTGTAGAATTAATGGGGTTTGACACCACTTTAACTGTAAAGGCTCAGTGCTATGAAATCCTAGGTTTTACAAGTTCTTCAGCCTTCTGTCAAAGACAGCTAGAATTGGTGAAGTATTATGATCAATATTCTCCTTCTGTTTTAAATCTCAATAGTAGGTTCAAAGCAGTCTTGCATCCCTTGCCAATGATTGAGATGCTGAGGTCAATGTAAAACTGCGACTCAATGCTCTCCTTTAACGTGTTGCCCCATATAAACGAAGAGTACTACTGTTACAGGTATTTCAATGTCAGATCTCATCATGGTTCCATTTTATTTCCAATATTGTTTGACAGGTACAAGCCTGTTCTTACATATCGGTAGTATGTATCTCATAGTTTGGATATCTTGAAATATTCCCCTGGAGGCACATCATATGGAAATCTTAGTGGGTAGTACATATTTTCATTTTAGATCAGATAAACTACCATTAGGTTAAATCTTCAAATATATTTGTGTAATATTATTTTTCCCTCTTAATTCCTGTGTGTTGCGCATTGGTCTTTTAAAAATTATCTGATATATTTTCAAGGAATGTCAAGCAGGGTGGGGCTTTTGTATCCTTCCATTTGTTGTTGAGTTGTAATTTCTTGTGTTCCTAACCATTGTATATGTTACATGAGACTATTGAAAGTAATATCTTTCGTATAGAATGGATCTAGTCATAGTTGTGTTTCCAGTGGGATTATGAATTCTGCTCTAAATTTTGATAAAATGGGAGATGCAAAGTTGAAGTTTTCTGTACGAGTCACAGTATGTTCTGCAGGCCTGATGCACCCTTATTCATCTGTAGTAGCATACTTCCAAGATGAAATTCCTCAGAATGTAAGCAGGTGGTCAAAGCAGTTTGGAGCCTTGTGATTTTGGAATGTGAAGAACTATACTAAATAAATTGCTTTCAGTCAATTCCTGAAACTTCTTTCATAATCTTTTAGACGCCTTGGAGCTGAAGGTGAAGGCAGGGACTGTGGCGAGGAGGCAGCACAATGGATCACCACCTTCCTGAACACAAGGCCTTACCGGTTAGCTCACTATGAGCCCAACATGATGACAAGGAAGTCAAGAGACGTCCTGCCTGAGTTTGAAACTACAGATGAGGTTGGAGGACAGTGTCCTTATAAATATCGTATATAGTAGAATCTTGTTTAACAACCTTCGCTTATTCAACATTCCATCTTATCTGATGCGCCTAAACAAACAAAAACATGCATAAGTCGGTGTTATGAACCCCAACAGGTTCTTGTTCTTTTGTGTAGAGTGTTCAAGGAATAGTAAGGCGGTTTAGATCACTGAGACACTTTAGAGACCAAATTTGGTTTTAACACTATTTATGTAACATTTATTGAAATACAATCACCATAGCATCACATCAGAATCACATCAAGAGAGAGCCCTCGTGCACACATTCCAAACATTCACACATACTCACACACACACACAGGTCTTCTCTGGTGAAGATGATCAGCTTTCTCCGAAAAGGTGTGGATGTTCCTGTTGCCACGGATCAGGAAGCATGCATAATCTTGGGGTCCTCTGCATTTATAGGCCAAAGTCAATCTTTCTTCTTAATGAACATGCTGTTCTGTTCTTGTGGGTTCAAGGCATCCACATTCCAGGCCATATAACTTATGAGGTACCTCCTTACACTCCTTACGTGGTTTGCTGCACACCTCATTGTCCATTGTCCATTGTTGTTCAGCTATGCCTTACTGCTTCCTCACTTAGTCTGCCAAGTCCGACCCATATGATGCTTTGCGCAAACTCCATGTTGATTTTTCAGGCCTGCTTCTTCTGCTCTCCTTCATGCATTCACACATTCATTCTTTACATTGGGAACGAGAAAAGTCTGCTGCTTGTTTGGGAGCATGACTGTACTCATTCTTGTTGTTCCTAACAGTGAGACACCGCAACACAGAAATTGATTACAACAGGTCCACCAGGCGCACGCGTCTAACCTATGACTCATTTCTCACCTTTCCTAACAGTTGTTTAGTGCAGTTTGTTATAGTATGTGGAACGGTTTGCTGTGTGTTGCTGTGCAGTATTTATGTGTTTTTCCCCCCTGAACTTTGTGCAAGTATGGTGACGAAAAGAAGGAAGGTGTATTGAACTGCTTTTTCTGTCAATTTGTTACAAAACATGTTTAGGTGCTTAATTTGTAAAAATCATAATGTAATTTGACATTTCATAGGCTTTTCTTAATCCCTTAATCCTTTAACCATTATTCAACATTTTTTTTGTCCAACATTCTGCCAGTCTGTTTATGTCGGATAAGTGAGACTCTACTGTATTTATATTGTTTAAAGTGTTGAGTCAAATTTGTGATGCTGTATTGGCATTAGGCTGCAGTGCTTAGCATACTCATCTTTAATGACATACTTACCTCTTTACTTTTAGCAAAGAAGAGATATTATAGTGAGACAATCTATATAAAATCAGTCATGTAATATATTACTGAGTCAGGCCACTTCTACACTGCCAGATAATCCGGATTATCAAAGCAGAAAATCCACATTATTTGATTTGAACTGGATTATTTTAGTCTACACTGTCATACAATCCAGTTCGAAGCAGAAGATGTGGATTTTATGTGGCAGTGTTGTGTTGTAGAGTGTTGGACTAGGACACTGGAAAACCAGGATTTGAATCCCATCTTGTTCATGAAAATCCATCAAGTGACTTTCTCTCTGTCACCCTCTCTGAGCTTCATTGGAAAATTAAGAAAACCTTATTGGTTTGCCTTAGAGGCAAGATAGGTTATAAATTACTTTAAGACTTGTGACAACAATGCTAATCTCTAACTGGAGTAACTTTTGAGATGAATGGTTCAGTTTTAGGCCTCAGACAACTCTTCTGCTTAATGAAAAGTTGTGTATTAATGGAGTCTCTATTTACTTATATGAAAATATGCTAATTCCATAAAAAGAATTCAAGTTCTTTGTTTTGTAGTTATACAGTTAATGCTGTGACCCTATCAACAGCAAATCTTTTACAATTTATTTGTATAGGTTGCTTATGCTGAAGGCAGTCCGATCTTGCTAATTTCGGAAGCTTCCTTGGATGATCTCAACAGCCGGCTAGAAGAGAAAGTTGCAATAACAAACTTCCGCCCAAACATTTTTGTTACAGGATGTGCACCTTATGAAGAAGTAAGTAATATGGATCTCTGCTGATTGGTCTAATGAATGCTGATTTTACTCAAAATCTTAATTTATATGCTATATGATTTCATTGGAAGAGGAAATAGGGAGCTGCAGTATAGAAGTAGCAGAGTCTAGATGCACCCGATCCTGTCTGATATTGGAATTTAAGTAGAGTCAGCCCTGGTTTCTATTTAGATGGGAAACTTTCGATCATGAAAGCCATGGCCCTGAGCCCACAAGACCTGAGCAGGGCTTTTGATAAGAAGCAGGGCTCTTAATAATAACAGTTTATTTGTATTCCACCCTAACTTCCCAAGGGGACTCAGGGCAGATCACAGTACACATACACGGCAAACATTCAGTGCCGTTTTGAATAGACTGGACAGAGACAGACAGGACAGAAAGGAGGTATGCTGTGCTGACATCCATCTTTTTGGTGCCTTGGAGGTTGTGCTCGAATCCAGCCACAGGAGGGTTCTGTCACTCCATCCTATATGATGAAGAGCCATCAGGACTTCCTCCTTCCTTTTGGTCACTGGGCGTTTTCTAATCTTTTTCCTTATGGTGTCATAAAATAACTCCCCACTTGTTTTAGTGGTACCTAATTTCTCTGCTTACATCTCAAGCTTTTTTCAAACGGCTTAGGTAAACAGTAAACTGGGCTGACAGTCAGGAGCTCACACCGACCCAGGTCATTCTCAGGTTGTCCTCCCAGCATAAGGATGGGGCTGCTCGCCCCATCCCTGTGCCGGGCAGAAGGCGGGACACATAACAACTGCTCTGATGCTCGTCCCCATCCTCCTCCCCGGTCCTCGGGCTGTCCTCTTAGCATTATGCTGGAAGAAGGGTGAGAGAGGCTGGAGGGCTCTCAGCTGCCATGTGCCTTACTCAAGGCTTCCTCCTGGAATAAGGAAGGGGCCACTTGCAATGCCCTTATGCCAGGAGTAGGGCAAGACACATGGTGGGTGAGAGCGCTCCAGAGGGCTCTCAGCTGCTATGTGACTTCCTCCTCTATTTTTTAGGCATAAGGACTTGGCAGGTTGCTGTGTACTTCTGCAAGAGGACAGGGAAAATGAGGAGGGCCTGAGGTAAGCACCTAAGGAGCCGCATCTGGCCCCTGGGCCTTAGTTTGCCCATGCCTGGTCTAGGCATTGCTGTTTAACTTTGTAAAAAGAATTTATATACAGACACAAAAGACTTACAGAACTAAGCAGGATTAGCTCTGGCTAATATTCGAATAGACAAATACCAGGTTCTACAAGCTAGGAAGTAAGGTAGGCCCCTTCCACACATTGAACAGGATTATATGGCAGTGTGGACTCAGATAACCCAGTTCAAAGCAGATATTGTGCATTATCTGCCTTGATATTCTGGATTATATGGGTGTGTGGAAGGGCCCTAAGTAGCAAAACTTCCTCTGAGAATTGCTTGCACAAGAAAACCCTATACAACAAATAAGTCAACAAGTGACTTGAAGGCACATACATACACACAAGAGAATTGCTGAGTAAATTAATAAATATTGATAGGTCTTCCAGTATGATTTAATCGAATGTATTACTTTTAAAACTGTGCACATGTTAACTATCTGCAGTTTTATCTTTTTTTTTTTTTTTAGGATTCTTGGTCTGAAATAGTAATTGGTAATGTTCAGATGAAAGGAAGAATGGTTTGCCCCAGGTGAGAATCCTGAGCTGTAGTCTTTATAGCCAGCAGTATTTTGTTCCTACCCCATTACAATTGCATTCAGTATACTCGGGGAGCTGGGGTGCGGGGAGGGGGGAACAACTGTCAAACTGCAGATACTTGAGATCCTGAAACCGACTGGAATCCAGCCTCTATGTGTGTGAAATCACCATTCAGGCCTGGTTCCGTGGTTTATAATCTAATTACACCTCCCCCAACAGTGACGCCACATTCCTCAATATCAGTTTCAAATTGATCTAAGTGGACAATGCAGATATGCCTTTAGATTGAAAATGTTACTTTTAGATTAAATTAAGATTTTTCTTAATCAGTTGATAAAAATGCATTATTATGGTTGGTTTTTTTTAAAGGTGCATTTTCACAACAATTGATCCAAATACTGGGATCATGCACAAGAAGGAACCAATGAAGACACTGCTAAGGTACCAGATGTATGACTGATAGATCTCTTGTTACTTGTTTCAGTACATGTTGGTTGTTTTTGTGTGATTTTGAGTTGTTTGTGATTCATGGCAACAGGGAGTTGCTCTGCATAGACACTTTATCCTGGGCACCAATCTGGATTGTTGAATTCTGGCTCAATCCTGGAATGGATTTCTTGTCTCCAGGCTACTTGAAGTAAGGAGAGAGTCCTTACCACCAGCCTCCAAACTGCTGTGGAAATGGGAAGAAGTCTTGACCAATACAGAGAAAGGATTCCCCAAAGTGCACGGGCATGAGGCCACTATAGACAATAATATAATCCAATAATATAAATCATAATATTTTTTTCATATGTATGCTATAATCATAGAGCATTCAATGTACAAACAAAGCTTGTCGAAGTTCAAAGTATACTATACAATGATTCAAAACACAAGTCTCTTGACACAAAATCTTCCTTACATGGGACAGACAAATGATTCCTGAAGCAGAATCCAAAGGAATATGGTCAATGTATTACAAACAAACATACTCATAAAAGGCATCTCTCTTATAATCAAGGTTTGTGAGTCCAATGTCATATAAAGTTCATGTTCAACATGGAGGACTATGTAAATCACAGGTTGTAAATCCAATCCTATGAATCAAAGTTTGTAAGTCCTTATTAATCATGACCGGTTTTGACTGTATAGAGTCTTCCTCAGGTGGTAGTTTGTAAGAGTTCTTCAAGTGAATCAATATATAAGTATCAACGAAGAAGTGGACCTACAGGGAATGCATATGAGTGGCTAGAAAACATGGTACAAGACAAAAATGACCAACTGTAGTAGAAGCATCAAAGACAGTAACATAAATACTCACATAAGTTCTTGGCCCAAAGTTGTGGTTTGCTCTGGATTGTCAAGGAAAATTTGGCACGATCTGCAACTTCTTTATCCTGAATTGCAAATAGCTCCTTTATTCATGAAGTGGCATTAGCAAAGTATTTATGAGTATTCACTGCCAAAAAATATCTGTAAAATTCATGGGGATGTCATAAATTAACAGTAGATTTGAAAGCACACAAGAAAAATTGAGCGTCCCCATAAGGTAGAGTTAATTGATTTGAAAAAAACATAATGAACAACCAAATCAATGTTTCCTTATAAATTTATTTATTTATGTATTTATTTATTTACAGTATTTATATTCCGCTTTCTCACCCCAAGAGGTCTCAGGGCAGATCACAGAATACGTATTTGGCAAACATTCAATGCCGTTATACACTGACAAAACAAACAACGGTATATAGGCTTTTCCCATCTTTCGGCGTCTTGGAGGTTGTGCTCAATTCTGGCCGCGGTGGGGGGGGGGGTGTCACTCTATCCTCCATGCCAAAGAACTCTGTTCACAGACTTCCTCCTTTTGATTGCTGGCATTTCCTGGTATTTCCTTATGGTGCCATTGAAATACCTCCCTGCTGAGTAGATAAATACCTATTTATCTACTCACAGCTGTTTTTGATCTGCTAGGTAGGAAGTGAGCAGGGCTGAGGGTCAGGTGCTCACCCCCATCCTGGGCTTTGAACTGCCAACCTTTTGATTGGCAAGGTTTATTACAGCTAATGTTTAACTTGCTGTGCTAAAGCCTGGCACAGGGCACATTGTGTGTATATGTATTTCCCCTTAAGCTGTTTTTGTTGCGGTTTGTTAGTTTATATTGAATCTACACAGCAGTCCTCCCAGCTCCAGATCCCAAGTTGATT